AGAGAGAGAGAGAGAGAGAGAGAGAGAGAGAGAGAGAGAGAGAGAGAGAGAGAGAGAAACATATGTACAATCTAAAATAAATTGATTTTATAAGCCAGGCATGGCACAGGCCTTTAATCCTAGCATCTTCAGAGGGCACTGCTACGGCATTGGAGACCATATCCAGCCGAGCTCTTTGTGCAGATTCACCCTTTCTAAATGCATCTGGATGCCAGGACAGGCTGGGTCAGGGGCAGGATTCCATTTAAGGCTGATACTCCATCACCACTGAGATGCTTGATTCCTTTCTTACCGGGCTCGCTGGAGCAACTCCCAGTGGGCAGGTCCAGTGGTCAGATTGAAAGCTCCAGGATACACCAGGAGCTGGCAGCCTCCAGGCATGAAAGAAGAAAATGCAATGTTGAGCACGCGATGACTCTGGCCCCACCCTGCATTCCTTATCCAACAGAGCCAAACTCAAACTCTTCCACACACAACAAGAGGTCCGTCGGGTAAGACACAGACAGACGCGACTCTGAATTTAAAAGTCTTAGAGCTATTTCCTATGAAGCACAGCCACAAGAAAAATGAGCTGGATGGCTGACATCGGAACTTGCGCCTGCACTTTTAAAAAGTGGAGAGCTGTAATCAAAACGTTGCTCGGCGCCAGATGGTCAGCACCGCACAGTGAGGTGTGTCATGTGACTTTCCAGCCGACTGGGGCAGTACAGTTTCCGACACTGTTATGCCCAGAATGCACGCGCCGCATCTGCTGAACAGCTGTCAGGTCATCCGTACCACTTCACTTAGGTAAGTGGCAGTGGTTTCAGTGCCCTCGTAAGGACACTGGGATGTGCTGAACGCCGCGAGACGGGCTTTGTAAGTTCTCTCCTTGGTCCTCCTTCAGAGCAGTTCTCTGAGGGAGCTAGAAACCACACCTCTTTAGAGAGGAAAAATGAGGGATGAAAGTGCTGTACCAACTAAGGGGAAGGGCTAGAACCAGAATTCGGATCTCCTGACTTGGCTCATTCTACTTTACAAACAGGAGGTCTTGTCCAGACCAGAATATTACTGACTGTATATGTGAGGTCTGAACTCCAAGAGGGTACAGACCATTGCTCCATTTCCAGTGAACCCCTGTAACTTCAGCACAGTGACAGGAGGGAGGCAGAGGGTGGAGAGGATATTCGGGAACAAAGCTTCTGCTTTGGCTACACAGTGTCTGAGATCATATCCCCCAAACCATATCATCAGCAGAAGTCTGTTTAGCAAGCTGGTGTGGTAGAGCTGGACATGAATACATTCACACTCTACCGCCAAGATTTTGTGCATTTGTGCAGATTTTCTGTGTTTTTGTTTGTCTGTTTTGTTTTGGTTCTTTTGAGCAACTTCATGTTAAGGGCTCCCTTCATGCCACAGGACCATCCATCGCAGAATCAAACCTCCAAGGAGCTTCCCAACCCACCTGTATATTATTATCTCACCTTTCTGTGCATAGATTTGTGCAAGTTCTGCGAAGCGCATATCGTAGCAGATGCCCAGGCCTACTTTGCAGTAAGCTGTTTCCAAACAGAAAACACACCCATGAGAAGTGAATCTCCGGTAGCACGGGGCAGAAGGGTAAACCTTCTCTGATCACAAAACACTGACAGGGAAGAATTGCTATGGGACTCCTCTATAGAGACAATGTGTATGTTCAATCCCATTGGGATATCATCTCAAAGATATCATTCACCACCTCAGGACAGCTATGAGAAGTTCCTTGTGAGTCATGCACACTATCTAAGTAGGGTGTGTCAATTGTGGCCCAACAGGAACACTGTGGATGGTCAGGAGGCTGTAACCCAATGGAAGAGAAACATCATGTCAAAACCCTGGGTTTCCATTCTGTCCAAACTTTCTAGACCTCTGACTCCTTACCTTCCCCAATTCTGAACTTTTAGGGATGCTAAGTGAAAAAGGCGGGGACAGACATAGAAGGAAAAGTACCTGCTCCTCTCTTCTGGGATTTCTAAGAGGCAAACGTATCTGGTACGTACGAGTGTCAAATGTGGAGAGACTGTCACCGGGACTCAATGTTTTAGATTCTTGAAATGTAATTTTCCCAGGAACATCAATGTCAAAGAGATGGATCTGCATCACAAATAATTGATTTGGTTACCCCTTTCCCTACAGGCCTCACAGCAGTACTGGCGGATGTCTCACTGTGGTCAGATATGGAAATACTCTTAAGATTGACAATACAAACATTACCCCGTTTGCCCATATTGCACCTACAAGCTGACGGACATCGAATCCCTATTGCTCTGTGTGGGATCTCAGGCACAGCATTAAACAATAGGTTTATATAATCTTGTATTTAAATAAGAGTATTAAATAACCTTGTTTCCGGTCTCTGAAGGAACAGGTTCACTATTTCCACCTATTCCATCTACTAAAGGAAAATGGGAAAATGATGTGGGTTTTAGCACCTGTTTTCTACAGGTGTGCAGTATGCACGGTCTCCTCATGGGATGTACTATGTTGCTTTTACTCACTATAAATGCTCAGGAAGATTTCTCAGAATCAGAATCAAATTGATGAAACTGGTAAAAGAGGAGGAGACACTTGGGAGGCAGAGACAGGCGTAGCTCTGTAAGTCTGAGGCCAGCCTGGTCTACAAGAATAGCCAGGGCTAAGCAGAGACCCTGTATCAAAAAAACCAACAACGACAGCAAAGAAAACAAAAAGAATGTGTAGCATTTAAAACAGGCAAGCTGTTGGGCAGTGGTGGCGCACGCCTTTAATCCCAGCACTCGGGAGGCAGAGCCAGGCAGATCTTTGTGAGTTCGAGGCCAGCCTGGTCTACAGAGGGAGTTCCAGGAAAGACTCCAAAGCTACACAGAGAAACCCTGTCTCAAAAAAAACTAAAAAACAAACAAACAAACAAAAAACCAATAGGCAAGCTGGCATGGGGGCACATGCCTGTAATCCTAGAACTAAGGATGCTCACACACGGCGATTGCCACAAGTTCAAGGCCAGTCTGAACTACTTGAATTTAAAGCCAGCCTAGGTTACACAGAAAGACCCTGTCTTCAAACAAAACAAAGCAAAACAAAATCCCGGTAAAATTTTGCAAAACAAAGTCAGCAATGCATATATAATAATGCATCTCTTCCAAATGAGACTTTTTTTTTTTGAGACAGGGTTTCTCTGTGTAGCCCTGGATGTCCTAGAACTTGTTCTGTAGACCAGGCTGGCCTTGAACTCAAAGATCGGCCTGCCTCTGACTTCCGAGTCTTGGGATTAAAGGTGTGTACCACCATCACCTGGCTAAAATGAACTTTTTTCCAGGAAAGCAAATGCAGCTTGATATCAGAAAATCAACCGATGTACTTTATCACATGAGAAAAGGGAAGGCGACCCCAAAGATGCACACTGAGCATTAGTCAACTTAGGCTGAGGAATGGTGGCAGTGATTAAACTCAGGCCATACCCGTGCCACATAAGCACTCCACCACTAAGGTGTGTCCGGCCTGTACCTGGTGAACTTCTACAATCAACCATGATTTTAAAAACGAAACAACAAGACTCTGCCATGAAAGGAACTCTTTTCATCTCATAGTCATACGAAACAATCCTAAAACAATCATCATATTTAGGGGAAAAATGATGAACGTGTTCCTTCTGAGACTGGAAACCAGATAAGGACACCTGTTACTTACTGGTGGTATTCCTGAGATCCTACATGGAGCAACAAGAAAAAAAAAAAGGTGAAGTACGGAAGTAGGAGAAAGAAAGAACGAGGCTGTCTTTCTCAGATTATATAACTGGCACCCAAAATGAAATTAGGAGAATTAATGGGTAAGTTCAGTAAAGTAACGTTGCTACATACACCACCAGTAGTTTAAGGATTAATTACATTTTTACATCCTAGCAAGAAACAGAAAAGGGAAGATGATGGGATCTGTACCCCCCGACTCACCTTTCTGTGCTTTACCAATAAACTCCCATCGGGCCCAAACACAGCACAGGTGTTGTACAGCTTCCCAGCATCCTCTTCAGGGATGGAGCCTTTCATTGAGGGAAAGATACAGTCACTCCAAACAATAACAAAAAAGAATGGGCCAATAACTTTGTGATGCTAGGTAAGGCCCTGGGAAATAGTCACTTGGTCCAATAATAAACTTTATTCCAAGCATTCTTTTTCCTCCTTGAATATACGTCAGTGACTAAACTCCAAATTATTGATACACTACAATTAGGCCAGACGTCACAGGAAGGTTTAAAAAATAACTAAACTGGCCCTGAAATCCAGCCACAACATTTCGCAACAGTTAATATGTAACATTAGAGCAAAATCCGGAATTCCTCATTGCTCAAATTCAGCATCTTACAACAAAACTGAATCCCAGAGCCCCCATGATAAGAATGTTAAGATACAAGTCTTTCTCCATCACAGAACCAATTCGATACACATTGCCACCACCTATTCATTCCTAATCCTTAATAATCATGACACAAAATAACCTTGTTCATTATATTTATTGAACCTCTGGAGGTTTACTATGCGTCCTCCCTCCCCGCCCCCCCCCCCAATCAGCACATAGAACACAGGTAAGGTTTCTCTTGCCACATTCTATCTAGTCACACTCCTTTTACAGGGAAAGTTATCAGGATCAGTTTGGTGTGTTTCTTTCTATGGTATTTGCTAGGCCTTTTACATACATAACTCCCTGAGAGAGCATATCTTTTGTGGGGGAGATTAATCTAAGTGGGCAAATTCTGTTCATCATCATGCTGAACTTGCATATTTTACACTTAGTGTTTCTTGAAGTGTATCCCAAGCTGACGTTGAACTTACAATCCTCCTGCCTCTGCTTTCCAAGGGCTGGGATTATAGGTGGATGCCACCATCCCTGGCAACCTCATTCTTTTCAAGGGCTGAAATGTGTTAGTTTAAATGTAACAAAAGGCATTCTAATGTTTTTAACGTTTAGATGTTACCCCACATGGAAGGAATTACCTCCAATGAGATAAACACTATTCTCCTTTGCTGCTTCAGAGAGCTTCTGTGTGGACTCTCCGGGAATCTTCTCTGCATATTCAGGGAAGTAGTTTGTTCCGTATGGAGAATTAAAGCATTCCTAGATTAATGTTAGAAGAGAAAAAGGGTGATGATGGGGGGCAAACCATTCCAAATTCTGTAGAAAGTGGAAGCACACTACCTCCCACTCTGGTCCTGTGTGAGCAGATACAACACCTCTAGGAAAAGACCTAAGGCTAAACAGCGCGCAATCAAAGGCAGACAGGTAATTAGCCCGGTGAGGACGGAGGAAACAGACCGGTTATTCTGGTGACCCTGGCAGACGGCTAGACCTGGAGACGGTCGAATGACCAGTTTTTGGACATCCAGGCCCACCGTAGCTCAGGTTTATTCTGTGATTTTGGATACTGAGGTGAATTCTGGAGTTCAGAATTATCCTAAGTTTGTACAGCAACAAAACTTAGGCATAAAACGTTCTGAAAGGTACAGAAGTGACGACGCTTTACTCACTGTAGACAAGCTGTTTCTAATCCCATCTTGGCACTGTCCTCGTGATTCCATGATGGCTCTCATGGACGGGAAAAGTGGGTGAGGATGAAACAAGGACAGGGATGGGACACCAAGGACAATGACCCCAACACACACACACACACACACACACACACACACACACACAGCACACAGCTGCCTTCAACAGTTCTCTGACACCTTTAATCCCAACACAACAGAGAGGCAGGCGGATCTCTGAGTTCGAGGCTACCCTGTTCTACAGAGAGTTTCGGGATAGCCAGGGCTACACAGAGAAACCCTGTCAAGAAAAAGAGAGGGGGGTGGGGAGATGAGAGAGAGAGGGGGGAG